ATAATAATAACAATTCAAATTAAAACAAGTAATAATAAAAAAAGCTCAAAAAAATAATCAAAAAAAAAAGCAATAATTAAATTGTCCCAGTGTGAGAAAAGTTTGACCCTAATGACCCAGATGTTTCATTGTAAAAGTGGAATCAGCTCGTGTTTTATTCTCGACCACAACGTCGTTGGTTTTGTTCGGTAGTTCCTCGAGTTCCTCGATCGACGTTCCTCGACGTTCCTCGACGTTCCTCGATGTTCCTCGACGTTCCTCGACGTTCCTCGACGTTCCTCGACGTTCCTACAGCAGGACACTTGGGCTTTTTGTTTTGGGCCTTTGTGACGTGAAAAACTCGAGTGAAACGGGAAAAACAAACAGAAACCAAACGGAGCCGAGTTTTGTGATAAAAACACCCGGAGTCCACACACGGACACTCGAACCTCTCACAGCATTTTCACCGTCCATGCATATGCTAATGAGCTCATTAATATGCACAAATAGATTCATATGATCATCCGGACTCTAGTGCTCCTGACAGACCACATGTGGACTGAACCGGGACTGAACCGGGACTGAACCGGGACTGTGACCATGTGCCGTCTCTGTCCGTACTTACTCGGAGCTGATTGGTGGAGGGTCGAGGGGGCGTGTCGCCGGAGGAGGCTGTGGTTTAAAAAAAAGCACTGACCAATCAAGATCGAGCTGCTGTGATCTGATTGGACGCTGAGATCTCCTGTTGAACTGTGACAAACAAAAAACTACAAAAAGACTAAAAGAAGAAGAAGAAGACGACGACTGGATAATAAAAGTAAATGAATAAACTGCTTTATTTATACAAACACAGAAGGAGGGAACGCAGGAAACTGGTCTGACTCCAAACACCAACACCTGGATCTGGACCAGGACCTCAGGACCTGGACCTGGACCTGGACCGGGATCTGGACTGGTTTTTATTTTAATTATTTTTGTTATTTAAATTTTTTATTTGTGCCAAACTCAAACCAGTTTCCTGCCGGGCCGTTCCCGTCCAAACCGTGTGACGTGAGCACTGAACGAACTCCAGTATTTTTGTGTCGCCACATTTCATCACAAACGGACCAAAAAACACTGAGGGCGACCGGGCCGAGGGCGACCGGGCCGAGGCGACCGGGCCGAGGCGACCGGGCCGAGGCGACCGGGCCGAGGCGGGCGATCGGGTGAAGACGAGCGTCTGACGAACGCCGCCGCCGTCGTCATGGAAACGTGTAATATTGTTGTTGTTTTTCTTTGTTCTGCTGTAGGTTTGGAGCCCGAGTCCCAACAAATAAAGTTTTATTGGTACAAAACTGTTTTGTTTGAGCTGAAAGGAGAGACAAGAAACAGGGTTTTACTCTGAAGGTTTTTTTTGTTTTGTTTTTAAACAATGTTTTTTAGTTTTTTTACATTATAAAGCACAACCACACAATCATGACCATAAGTTATTGCATCCGTACATTTTTCCCCCAAAACAAATATGAGTAAATAAAAACATATATACACATATAAACACCACAACAATGTAAGATGTACACATATATACATACATAAAAAATATAGAAATAATAGAAATAAATCAAAACAAAAGGTTTATAGAAAAGTATCAATCATCTTCAGCACCGTCCGTCAAATTAAGATTCCCTACAAAACTTTTCAGAGGAGCCTGTGGGGTTTTTTGGAAGGTTCCATGTGTGTCCTAAAAAGAAGCACAGGAGATGGAGAATCCGAGAGAACAGGCCACTTTATTTCAACATTTCCATTGAGAGATTCAAGTTGATTACCAAGTACAACTGTCACCCCGGAACAACACCTCAATGACCAACTCAAACTCAGGGGTAACTTTATACTACATCTTGACAAAACATTAACTTGTTGATTTAGCATAAACGGCAAGAAAATGAACAATACTGCTGACCCAGTGCAGCTTATCATGGGTGGAAACATGCCACGGGGTCCACATATGTCAGTTTTTCTGCTTCGTGGCATCTCAAAGTCCAGAAAAACATGTTCTTTATGACACTCAAAGTACAGAAATAACATGTTCTATAGACCTACAGATAATCATACGTTTTCCACCCTGTTGTTATTCTAAAAGTCCATAATATTAGGTGAATTAACATGAACAACACATAATATTTCCCACAGTATTCCCCCTTTTGATTACATCAAACATGTAATCACCACCTAAAATAAGAGGAGCAAGACGCTACCTCCACATAATAAATCCCCATATATGAACAAAATAAAATTTAAAAATGTTTTGTTAGCTTTAGCTCTTTTATAACATTTCCCAGATTCTTGTTAACACAATATACTTGAATAACATAGTACATAATCAATACATGACACTCGGACAGCGAAAATAAGAGACCAGGAGCACATACTCAGGAAGGTTTTATCTCTATTTAATCAATGGATAAATTTGTAGGGTTTCAATCAAACCCAATTATTGGAGTCAGAACGTGAGAGCTGAGAATCAGCAGAGGAACACAGTTTG